ATTTAGATAAATTATCAAGCTAGCTGCTAAAATGATACTGAGGAAATGAATATTAATTGTCAGGAAAAATCTGAAACAAATAAATTTAAAATAAGGATTAGTATGTGTATGTTTCCCCTTAAACACTTCTATACACTCTGGGACCATTTAAATTATCTCAATTATATGTTACTTAGCAAGGAATATATTATAATTTTCAACCATCTAACGAGAGTGCTATAATCCACATTAAGAACACCTTTACTTTAACACCTTTACTTTAACAAATAGTAAACTTGAAAAAAAGCTCCAAGCCACTACCTTAATGGCAAACTTACAAATTCTTTATTGGAACATCAAGTTGGGGTATAGTTGAGGTGAGAGAGAAAGAATACCTAAAAATTCTTTAATCATGATCAAGTGAATCATATAAGAAGCAATTAAATGTGAATGACATATAATATTAACACATTATTAATTTAAGATTGAAAAAACTTCTCAAATGATGGAAATCTTGAACTTCCAAGTTGGTTCCTTAGATCTCACCGTGTATTGCTTCATATTTGCTTTTTTACTCCTAACACTTCAGTTTTCCCTATTGAACATCTTAAATTTTTATAGAGTATTTTTCCAAAAAAGATGGTTAATAAAATTCACTTTAAACATAAGCTTAAGGGAAAACTCAGGCAAGTCAAATTGATTTATAGAAAAAGATTGGTGTCATAAAACTTGAGTTAAGATGTATATAAGGTTACACTTATTACCAAGTAAATAAAATCTAAGGTAGTTATATAAAATTAAGAAGCATAGCTCCCAAAGAAAGAAAAAGAAGGGCCTCCCCGGTGGCGCAGCGGTTGAGCGCTGGGCTATGAAGCTGCCCGCAGCCTCTGCAGCGCCAGTTCGATCCCAGGCCGCTGGGCGAGGGACCCACATGGTGCGCAGACCTCTCCTGCCGCCCGCTGCTCCCCTCAGCAGTGTACCTCGGTTCTTCTGCCTGTTCTGCTCCCCGCTCTGGCTCTGGTGAATTCTCTCACCCTCCCGAGCTTCTGACTGTACCCAGTGCTTGTATAAATAAATAAATCTTTAAAAATAAAAAAATGATAATTTAAAAAAAAAAAAAAAAGAAAGAAAAAGAAAACCCAACAATTTCAGACTGCTAATCTGACACAGACAACAATCTTATCTTTTGGAATTGGACTTAACCAGAGTGTTAATTTCCAGGTGTTCTGGAAATTACTAAATAATTGTCCCTGGATTTTAAACTTTAGTCATCAGAAATTTCACAAAAATCTCCAGGTCTTCTTTTGTAGGTCATTTTTAATTTGTTCCCTTCTTTTGGAATGGTCAAGACTGATTTTACTTATATTTGGAAATATTATAAGGTTTAGACTCTCCCATCCCCCACATGATGCATTATGGATGTATTAACAGCTGGACATTTACCTGCCAGTCATGACTCAAACTTCTAGGCATAATTATTTCCAAGCAGGTTGACTAACAACCTGGTGTTTCACAGTGTAATGGGATTCTAAGAAAATGAAACTAAAAGTCACAGTGGTTTTTGGTCCTTAGTCACACTTGGTAGTGCTAACAGTCAACAAAGTGGAAAATAGGATTTATTACACAAACTGTGTCTTTCTGTTATTTTGGGTAAGTCCACTCATAAGATCTAACACCACCTAGGGGAAAGGAAAGGAACATTTATTAAGCAACCTGATTCAGGACAAAAACTGTTAGATCTACATTATGTCATTTACTTCAACAACAACTCTATTGAGTAGTCATTATTCCCATTATACAGATTAGGAAATCTCTGCAAAGTACAGTAATCCTGTCAGTAAGTATAGTAAGAACCTGTGTAAAACTGATCTAAGGAGCTTCAGATTCCAAAGCCAGTGTTTTTAGTACTCATGGGATTTAAGGTTCAATCACTGAGTGCCAACTAATGCACACAGTACAGTTCTTCTGTATTATAGATGGGGAAACTGTATTATAGTTGGGACTTGCCCCAAAACGTAACACTTGTGGTGAAACTGAGGTCTAAATTCTAGTCTCATGGATTCCTGTGCAGTTCTGATTATAATGATCCCTATTTTGCCTGTGTGTGGGTGTGCTTTGGATTGAATGTCAGTAGTCACTCTTGATATAATTTATATTTAATTTATAACATCTCCAAATGAAAATTGTATGTCTGGCAAGTGTAGGGATATACATTTTTAGTGACCAAAAATATAAACTATATTTGGCACTAATAAAAACTTAATTGGTCTTTGTAAATCATTACATGTTGTAAAGATGGGTGGTCCAATATACTTATTCAAGCAATAAATACCTAATATGTACTGGCTACTGTGCTTGGCAATAAGACAAGAACTATATATATATATATATATATATATATATATATATATATATAAAAGAGAATTAGTCCCTATCCTTTTCATGGATTCCTCCCAGTGGAGGATAAAGACAAGTTAGCAATTTCAATGCAGTGAGTCAATGCTATGACAGTGGGAGTACAAAATGCTATGGGAACAGGAAGCAGGGATACCTAACCCAGACATGACTTTTCAAAGGTGCTAGGAAAGATGAGTAGGAGTCAGCTAGTTAAAAAGAGGTATGGAGTGCAGAAATGTTTCAGGATGAGCAAATAGCGTTTGCACGCGACTGGAGATAAAGGCCAAGGGAGCTGCAGGAGGAGGAAGGAGAAATGAACCTAGCTAGAGAGAAAAGCAACAACCAAAACAAGTCTTTGAATGCAAGAGTTTTATACTCTTGTCTATTAAAAGTACCTGGGCAACTTTAAAATAAACACAGATGTCTTGGCTCCATTTCAGGACAATTAAATTATAATCTCTGGGAATGAGACCCTGGCACTGGTATTTTTAACAAACTAGATGATTCAAATGTGTAGTCAAGATTAAAAACCACTATTTAAGTTATATAGGAAACTGAAGACACACATACACATTATAAATGTAATATATACGTATACATGTGTATACATGTATACAAAGGAAACAGGAGGTGATCTTAATATGTCTGAGCCCTAGTTTCTGTATTTATTAAAAATGCAGGTTGCAGCAGGTTAGAGGAAGCATGATATAGTGAAAGGGGTTTTGTCAATGAGTCTGTCACCTGACACCAGTTTGACCTTAAAACGTCAGTTCTTAGAGATAGTAGTACTACCTTGTCTGCAGGATTGTTGTGTAGCTCAGCATAAATAACACTTAAGAAAAGCAGTTTGATAACTGTGCTAGTAAAATATAAACCATAATATTTCAAGATCCATGTTTCTGAGCTGTGCTATTTTTAGGATCATAAATATTTTCACCAGAGACAAAAATCTTTCATGATGCTTAAAAACACATTTCAGGGCCTCCCTGGTGGCGCAAGGGGTTAAGCACCGCAGTATGAAGCAATCTGCAGCCTCTGCAGCATGAGTTCGATCCCCAGCAGGCCAGGGAGCAACACACATGGCTCAGCAGACCTCTCCTGTCTCGCCCGCTGCTCTCCTCAGCAGTGTATTTCAGTCAGTCTGCCTGTTCTGTTCCCCACTCTGTCTCTGATGAATCCTCTCAACCCCCCCCCCCCACATCTCTGGCCTGTACCCCAGCTCTTGTATGCATAAATAAATAAATCTTTTTAAAAAACCACATTTCATTTAAAGAATCACTCACTCCTACCTTGGAATTTAAAATATTAAAATAATAGAGAACTGATCCTTTCAATGCTTTGATAGTTGCTAAAGAGATCTAATGGGATTAAGTTAGGTCTTTTCAAATAAACAGATCAACAGAGCAAATGCCCTTTAAATAGTAATAGCAAATGTTTAAAAAATACTTAGTCAAGGGTACTAATAGGAAAGGTACACACAAATTAAACTATTTCAGAAAAAAGGTTATTATGATAAACCTTATTATATGAGTATTTTATTTTTAAATTTATTTATTTATTTTTTTAAAAAAGGGAACACTTAACTGGGATGGAGAGGGTCTTATCCTGGCAGGAAGGAAGCTATGTTTCCAGAAGGACTTCCATACACAGAGCCAGGCAGAGGCAACCATCTTTCAGTCTCTCTTTTACATATTAGCCTCATGAGAATATACACTTTTATGCAGTAACTTTCCAGTTTAAGTACAGGATTTGTAGTGACATTTCTTTAATGCTATATCCAACTTACTGAAAGTAAAAATAACTTCAGATATATAAAAATACCTCTGCATTTATATGTGGCTTATTTTTAATTCTTCAGCAGAAACTGATGGTAATGTATTTCAACCTTTATTCTTATGGTCAATGATAAAACATTACATTGATATTCACTTGCTTTCTTGATAGTTCCTCCATGATGCTATTACAATTTTGATGTACTATCATTTCTTTCAATCACCTAGTTCATGATTTAATAGGAAGGCACTCCATTTTACAATGATTAAAAAAAGCACAAAAGAAACTTTTGAAAAAAGTTACTGATGAAGTCTTATCTAATTTTATCCCAAACACAAGATAAGAAAACTCGAAAACAAACAGAACATCAAAAGAGCTAAGGCACCCTCCCCCTCAACCCCGCCCCCAACACACACACCATTGGCCACTCTTCAGGTAATTTTGACTGGTGACACTGTAGAACAGTTAATCAGATAACTAAAAAAATTCTAGTACATGTGCTATTTTGATAGTGATATATAATGTCACCCAGCATTCAATGTTCCAGTTTAAAAAAAAAACAAACTTAAAACTTGAATCCATAGAAACATATTACCAAATTACGAACACTGCAGTTCCTACATGAACAGGTTAATAAAGTGGTTTTGATGTCATCAAACGAAGTTAGCGAGCTGGTACCTTAAGTATTTTCCAGACCTTTTCTAAAAACGCAATGCAACCTAGAAACAAAACCCGTACGCTGCAATTCAAGTAAATACAGAGAACACCCAGTTTTCAAGTAGGAAAACACGCGACCAGCATTGCCCGCAGTGGTGCAGCTATGGCACGAGAAATTACGCGGCTTGACTTACCAGGAGTTGAACCCACCCGAGTTGTCTAGGGGTATCCCAGGCTTCACAAAATACGACCCAAAACATCACCTCAAAAACCCAAGTCCGGCATGTGCACAGAGGCGCAGTGCTGGAATGAGGAAGCCTCGCCAAGATGCAATCACAACTCTTATTCCTACAAGAACATGCAGGCTGTGGTGGACGCAGCCCGCTCTCGGGGCTCTCCCTGCGCCTCCAGTCAGCTCTGTAAACAGCTCCCCCATGAGCGCTGCTGAAGCCAGGAGCGCCCGACCCCCAAGTCTGGTAACAAGCTACCATGATGACCACGATTCCTTTACCCTCCCAAAAATAAGCCCCGAAGCCGCGGTCACACACGCCGGCAGGTCGCCTGGGGTGGACCCAGCCCAGCCCCAGGCGCTCCAGGGCCATCCCCAGCCCCTCAGGACCGACGACCCGACCTCCCAGGAGAGACTCCGCGGAGACACGCGCCGCCCGGGTCTATGAATGAAAGATCCGAGACGTTCGATTGTCTCGGTTTAAAGGAAAAAAACAACTACGAGAGGAAGGGTGGGTGGGGAACTGCAGGGTGGGGAGCGGGGCGGGGAGTAGGGGGGGAAGCGCTTTTCCTTCGACGCCCCAACCGGGCGATTTAAACCCCGCAGGAGGCAAACGCGGGGTCGCGCGGCAGGCGGGGCCGGAGTGCTCGGGTTTGACAGCCCCAAAAGCGCAGGCCGCCCGGGGTCCCCCGCGCCCCGAGCCCGGCCCCCCGCGGCCCGAGTGGGCGTGCAAGGGCGCGGGGACCGAGCCCGGGGCCGGGGCGGCGGCCCAGGGCGCACTTCCTCAGGCTCCAGCCGCCCCAACCCCAAAAATGGGAGAGGAAGGAAACTAGGAGCGCGGCGGCACTCGGGGGGAAAGAGGGAGCGGCGAGCCCCGCTCGCGCATCTGGGCGAGGCCACAGGCAGGAGGGGAAGCGGCAGCCGCGATCGCGGGCGACCCCGCCGCGGGCCGACGCCGGGAGCCCCCCGCGGGTGCCCCGGAGAACGCAGCGGGCGCGCCCCGGAGTCCCCGGCGCCCGTCCCGCGCCCATCCCGACCGCGCCCGCGCCCGCGCCCGGCCAGTCCCGCGCTACTCACTCTCGGGCTGCTCCAGGCTCCGCTGCTCTGACCGCATCGGGTCCCAGCCCCGCGGGCGGCGGCCGCGCCGAGGGAGAGGAGAGCGGGCGGCACGGCCCCCGCCTCCCGGCCCCTCTCCCCCGCCGCTCCGGAGCTGCCCGGCCGGGCCCGAGCCCTGCCTCGCCGGCGGCCCCAGCCCCAGCGGCCGCAGCAGCCGAGACCTCGGCGGCCGCAGCGGCGGCACCGGAACTGCCGCTTTCTCCTTCTCGCTCCCTCGGCTCGCCAGCCCCGCCACACGCCCCCGCCCCCGTCCCCGTCTCCTTTCTCCGTCGCCCCTGTTTTTTTTCCTTTTGTTTCCAGAATAAACTTTATTGGTCTCTTTTTCCGCTCACATCGTGTAAACAAACAACGAACTCTTCCCCACCCCCTAGGCTCCCCCCTCCGCGGGCAGAGGAGGGTACGACCGGCGAGGGGCCGGGCCTACAGTGCCCCCGGAAGCAGATGGACAAGGGACGGGAAGTGAAACTGCCCTGACCGGGCGGGGCAAGCGGGCAAAGCCGGTAACAGTGTGCCAGTGCGCCTGCGCGCGGCGTTTCCGCCCGGAGTTCGGGTGGTGGTGGAGCTGCTCTGCTGGCGAGCGCGTTGATGCTCCGTGGTTTGCAGTAGCGAGGATGTTGGGTCCACCTAGTGCGGCAGTGTGTGGGCTGTCTGTTTCTACGACCGTCGGCGGACTAGGGTAGAGATATAGAGTATTGGGGAGAAGAGTTTTTCTCTCTTTTGGGGGGGCGAGAGAAGGGGGCGCGGTGGCTAGCTGCAGCTGTCAGTGGCTGACCACAAGTGTTTTATGGATTGTAGAAAGAAGGCCTTTTACAGAGCGTTGCTACGCGTCCTTGTAACAACGTAAGATTAAGTTGTTGCCCATCCCGAAAGAGGAATGCATTGCCACAGCCCTCTGCAATCTTTTGACTCATGCTCGGGAGCCCTTTTGCAATGCCCACTTGGACACCTCCCTCCTCTCTTCTCGCCTCCACCGCCCCCCCCCCGAATTTGATCAGTTTATGAGATTCAATTCTAACTATTCAGAGGATGTGCTTTTTTCGTGTAGTGCCCAGGGAAACTTAGAAAAACCATCTTGGCTAGAGATTCGATTTAAAGTGGTGCTTTGGTATTGCGTGCTCCAGAAGCCTCTTCTCACTTGAGAGCAATGGGATTTGTTGCCTTTTGAGATCTCTGCCCGCAAAGGTCTGGTTTTCTGCGTTGTTCTCCCTCTAGTGGTCTTTCATTGTATTAAAAGGGCATCAAGAATGGGCAGCATTAGAAATCGGTGATATAAATCCTTAAACGTAGGTAGGCTCTCTTACTAATTTTTATTTTTATTTTTATTTTATTTTTTTTACTAATTTTTAAGGTGTAGAAGACTTGCAAGTGACCCGCTCTAGAGAGGTTACAGTCCTAAATGTCATCCAAAGCAAAAATATCACCAGTAACAAGCTTTTGCTCGAATACCACACGCCCATACCTAGTTGTAAATGAGATGCTTTCCTCCTCCTCATAGTTTTATTTGACTCTGTTTTTTGTATTTCCTGTGTTTTTTTACGCTCAAGTTTTCACCTCACATTCCAAGTCTCAGAAGGTTATGTTAATCCGTAGGAGGGAATTAAATTTTTTTAAGAAGAAGTCATAACATTGTACTACTAGTCAAAGTAGTGCAGTTAAGGTAGCATTTCCTAAATTGTGCTTCCAATAACAAAGTTCAGTGAGATATTAATAGGTCGTCCTTTGTGGGGAGAAATTATGCTTGGTACATTTTCCTTCAAAAATTATTTTGAATAAGAGAGTGCTTATTACATTTCATGTTTTTTTGTTATATGATAATCTGGCTTTGAGAAATCTTGTCATAGAAAATAATCATACATGGTACTTGGATGTATGGTTTTTCGCTGGTAGAGCAATAGCAGCAATTTACAACGGTGGAACTTGGTTTATGTGGTAACCAATTATCTATTGTGTTTTATATTGCTACCAAAGGTGTTTGCACTACAATTCACTGTTTAATCATTTTGTGTATCTTTATGCAAAACTGATTGCTCAAGGACCTGTGGTGAAAGAATGTTTTAAAGGAAAAGCTGAAGTAGCGATTCTCAGGCTATAAATCAAACAAAAAGGAATACTTCAGAATTAAAGTATTGAGTCCTCAATTTTCTAAAGTTGGAAGGTAAAATGTCCAAAATGAAACTATTGTTCCATTCTAACTCAATGAAAATATGACAGCTACTTGCCCTTTGCATTTATTTCCATTGAAAATAAAAAGGGCTGATACTTAAATGTGCATTGTGCAACAAAACATTCTCTAATATAAACTAAGGTGATGACTATGCTTCTGAAGTCATTTGGAAACAAGAGTCAATTATGTAACAATATGTCCTGGATGTATAAAATTGCCAAGTCAAACAGTGAAAATACCAAAGGATAACAAAGTGAGCTACTATATAGCTCTTTTCTAGTTGATTATGGTCAGAAAACATGCTTGGGAGATTTCGGTTCTTTTTTCAGTTTGTTAAGGGTCATTTTGCTCCAGAATGTCTATGTAAATGTCCTAGATGTACTTAAACACACAATGTCATGTGTGTTTATTAATATCAGTTATATCAAGTTGGTTGGGAATGTTGTTGGTCTGTATCCTTCCTCCTTTTCTTGACTCGTTCTATCAGTATCTGGGAGAGGGAACATTGATGTCTCCAACTACAATTGTGTATTTGATTATTTCTCTTTTCAGTTCTTATATTTTTGCATTGTTTTTTGCTGTTCTTTGTTAAGTGCACAGATATTTAGAATTGTGTTTTTGATGAACTGATCTTTTTTGTCATTATATACTTATGTATCTTTTTTTGTCATTATATACTCTCTTTGACTTATAATATCTTTATCCTTATCTATTTTATCTGATATTAATATATTAAGTCCAGCATTCTATCCATTAGTATTTGTGTGATGTATTTCCCCCCTTTCTTTTCTTCATCTATGTATGTTATGTTTTAAACGGGATACTTACTTTTACTGCTGTACATTTAATTTAATTATTGATATTGTTGGATTTAGACCAATCATTTTCTTGCTAGTTTTTTGTTAGTTCCCTATGTTTTTTCTCTTCCTACTTTGCTGCCTTTGCTGCCACTTTTGGACTATTTGGAGAAAAATTAATATTTGATTTTAATTTATTGTCTTTATGGATTTATCTCAGTTTTTTAAAAGTTTTGTCATTGCTCTATGGATTTCAATATGCATACATGCCATTCAGTCTATTGTTAATATTACACCACTTCACTGCAAGTAAAATGTAGAAAGATACTCTGAAACCATAGAAGTCTCTTTCCCCTTGTTTCTTCTGCTCTCACCCCTCACTCACTGACCTTTATGTCATAGTCATATATAATGTTACATTTATAAATATGGAAACTTCATTAAGCAACTTTATAATTTTTGCTTTCAACTCTTAGGTATATTTAATGAACTTAAATGAAAAGATTGTCTTATATTTAGCCATGAAAAAAATCATTTTCCTTTTTGTTATCACTTTCCTTTAGTCTGAAGAACTCCTTTTAACAGTTCTTTCAGAGTAGGTCTACTGCTATTTCCCGTTAATTTCAAGGTTTTTTGTCTTTACCTCAGGGAGCATAGTCAGTAAAATCCCTGGTGACAAATTCTCTTAGTTTCCTTCTTTTGTGAATTTTTAAATATTTTGTTTTCATTCCTGGGTGACACTAGCTGGTTATAGAATTCTGGGTTAATAGGGATTTTTTTTTTCTCACCATGACTTTAAAGTTTTTCTACTCTCATATAAGGGGAGGGGGGACTAAGAAAATAAACAAAAGAAAAACAAATCCTTAGATTACAACTGTATGGTGGTTACCAGGGAGGAAGCATGGGCTTGGGAATGGATAGAGAGGACCAACTTGCTGGTGAGGGATAGTGACTGGATATTTGGTGGTGGGGATGGTATGATATATATAGTTGCTGAGGTGAAAAAGTGTACACTTGAAACCTATGTAGTGTTTAAGTTAAAAAGTTATTAGACAAAAATCATTGCAGTCTCTTCAAGCCCTATCTGTGATCATTCACATAGTTTTCCATAATATCTAATTTATCATTTTTTAAGATTATTTCAAGATTAAAGTTTTTTTTTCTTTCAATGATTTGATTATAATATGCCTAGGTATTTTTCTTTTATCCTCTTGAGTTTGCTGAATTCAAGAAAATTCTTGATTTAAAAAATTTTTACATTTCATTAAATTAGGAAAGTTTTCAGTTAATTATTTTTTTCAAGTATTTCCTTGTCCCAATTTCTTTCTTTTCTTCTGGTAATTCAATGACAAGAATATTAATTTTTGATATTGTGTGACATGTCTCTAAGGCTCTATCCACTGTTTTCAATCTTTGTTCTCTCTCTTGTTCACGTTGACTAATTTCTGTTGATTTATTTTCCAACTCACTTACTTTTGTCTCTCTTATATCTGTTTCTGCTATGGCCCCTCCCAAGAACATTTTTTTTAATTTTAGCTACTGTATTTTTATTTTTTAATTATCTAGTTGGCTTTTCTTTATATTTTCTGTTTCCCTAATAAGAACCTATATTCCGGGCCTCCCCAGTGGCGCAGTGGTTGAGTGCTGGGTTGCAAAGCTGCCCACAACCTCTGCAGCACCGGTTTGATCCCCGGCTGCTGGGGTGAGGGTCCCACATGGCCCGCAGACCTCTCCTGCCGCCCGCTGCTCCCCTCAGCAGTGTACTTTGTCAGTCTGCCTGCTCTGCTCTCTGCTCTGACTCTGGTGAATTCTCTCACCCTCCCGCACTTCTGACTGTACTCAGTGCTTGTATAAATAAATAAATAAATCTTTAAAAAAAAAAGAAAATGAAAAAAAAAACCCTATATTTCCCCATTCATTTGAAGGTCGTTTGTGTTTAGGTTAGGGAGCATAGTAACTGATATACCATGCAGACACTTTTATGAAATTAAATAGGGGGAAGAAACAGCTTTTACAGGAAGAAGAGTCAGTTGTACTGTACTTGAAAAATTTCAACATTGCTAATAAATTTTGCACCCTGAGCACAAAAGAGAGCAATTTTCCTATTATCAAAATTCTTATTAATAATGACCTTATTTGAGGATGTGCTTTCATTAAACATGGTTTTGCTTAAAGTCACAGTTTTCAAGAAACTATCAACAATGTTAAGTGAGGACTTACTGTACTCTGTAACTGTGGTTAAAATTAATTCTGGAGTTGCCAGAGATATTTATAAGGATTTGCTCTCTGTTAAAATATTACTGTCTCAGAAACAAGAATATTTATATTTGGATCCCATAATAGTCAAACCAGTTGTGTTAGGATAGGACCATGAAGTTCTGATAGAAGGGACATTTTGATGTTACGTAAAACAAATCTTTTGATTCAGCTGAGTGATTTATAGTGCATCCTAACTCAGGGTTACCTGGATATCATTTTCATCTTCCCTTTGATGTGACAGTCTCATGTGAAACAGAATTTTCACATTGTGCCACAATAAAAAAACGGTAGAATTAGACTTGATTTTGCAGTAAGAGTATCCATTCAACAATATTATTTCTGATAGTAGATATATATAATAATAAAGCAGAAACCAATAAACTCATCTAAATATCTGGTTATGACAAATGTAATTTTATAAAAGCTTCTCATTCAAATGTCTCTTTTATTCTTTTG